ACCGCTCTAACTGTCAGGAAGTTCTTCCTCGTGTTTAGATGAAAACTCTTGATTTCAACCCGTTGGTTCTGGTCCGACTTTCTGGGGCAACAGAAACCCAACTCCACACCCTCCGCTCGATGACAGCCCTCCAAGTACTTGAAGATGGCAATCGTATCACTTCTCAGTCGTCTCCTCCCCTCTGTGTTTTAAACGAGGGAGGTGTGCTCTGAGGGTTGTAAACCGCCGGTTGTAAGCACCCCTCTCGTTCCAAGGCGAGGCAGAATGCCGTCCTGCTAGCCCCAGCCTTGGTTCATTCTAGGTCAGGGTTCCCCAACGCAGTGCCCGTGGGCACCATGGCTCCCACCAGTCCTTCCCCTGGCCCCTGCTGAGCTTTTCAGAAAACGGGCACGGCCATTGTAAGGCAGGGCTTGTTGTTGGCTGTTCTCGCTCAAACCAAAGGGATTTCTGCTGGAGTGTCAGGGGAGCTGGGAAGCACCCGGGCTTTCCTTAGTCACCTCGGGGTTCCGTCCCCCCCCCCATTCAGACTTCCCTCCGTCTCAGGAGGGGTGTGCAGGGGTGATACTCTGTTTGGCCGTGCCAGCTTGGTGTCGTGGTGAAGTGCGCAGACTCTAATCTGGGAGAACCGGGTGTGATTCCCCACTCCTCCACTTGCGCCTGCTGGTGTGACCTTGGGCCAGTCACAAGTTCTCTCAGAGCTGTCCTTGAAAGGGCAGTTCTGGAAAGCGCTCTCTCAGCCCCACCGACCTCACAGGGTGTCTGTTGTGGGGAGGGGGAGGGAAAGGAGTCTGTATGCCTCTCTGAGACTCTGAGTGAAGGGCGGGGTATAAATCCAATCTCCTCCTCCTCCAGCCGTTTGGGGTTTGGCTCCACCCGCCATGGTAGCCCCTTTGGAGCGATGCCCGCAAAACTCCAGGGGCGCCTGCAGGTTCTGGAAAATTGGGGACCCCCGTTGTAGGCCGTTTCCCAGCACTTTTCACCTAGGGGTTCAGAGAGGTCGGTGAGGAGACCGAGATCCCAGGAATCCTGACTAACGCGCGTCTTTTCCCTCCTCCGCAGAGAGAGCGTGGCCTCTGCCATAACAGCAGCTTCTCCCCCGGCGAGTGCTCGCGGGTGGTGTCGCAGTGAGTATCCAACCCGGGGGGCCCTGAGACCCGAAGGGGCACGCCATTGTGGGGGAAAGTCTTCCCTCCAACTCTGCTTCTGCTCTGCTTCCAGCTTTCTCCCCAACTACTTGACCTTCACGGACTCCTACTCTCAGAAGGCCTTCTGCGGGATCTATTCCCAGGATGGACAGCTGTTTATGTCAGCTTGTCAAGGTAGGTTGGGAAATGGCTTAAGAGCGCCGAGAGCGAACGTCAGCTTCCCTGCTGGGCATTATGGGGAATATTCCAGGATTTGCTTCTCTTGCCGCTGTTCGTGTAGCATAGCTGGTGGGCATTCCAGCTACCGTGTGTCCTGCAAGTGCTGCCTGCCTGCCTGTGCCCCTTTGAACCAGAATACCCTTGCAAGTTTGCATTTTGGATAGGCTCCGACATACTCCCTTGAGAGGCACTGGGCCCATAACTGTTGGAGCAACGACGACTGAGGGGTGACATAGACGTTTACAAGATTATGCACGGGATAGAGCGGGTAGAGAAAGAAGTACTTTTCTCTCTTTCTCACAACACAAGAACTCGTGGGCACTCCATGAAATTGCCGAGCAGTCGGGTTAGAACGGATAAAAGGAAGTCCTTCTTCACCCAAAGAGTGATTAACACATGGAATTCACTGCCACAGGAGGTGGTGGCGGCTACAAGCAGGGACGGCTTCAAAAGGGAATTGGATAAACATATGGAGCAGAGGTCCATCAGTGGCTATTAGCCACAAGGTATAGATAGGAACTCTCAGGCTGGGGCAAGTGATGCTCTGTATTCTTGGTGCTTGGGGGGGGCAACAGTGGGAGGGCTTCTAGTGTCCCGGCCCCACTGCTGGACCTCCTGGTGGCCCCTGGTATTTGTGGCCACTGTGTGACACGGAGTGTTGGACTAGATTAGCCACTGGCCTGATCCAACATTGGCTTCTCTTATGTTCTTATTTCTTGGACCAGGAGTCCCCAACGGGCTACCGCGGTGCCTGCAAATGCCTTTCCTGGTGCCCAACGAGTGTTTTTAGAAAGTAGGGGAGGCTTTTGATTGGCCTTTGGAGATTTGATCAGCTGTGCAGATTTACAAAAACATTGCTGTGGGAGCAGCCACCACTCCAGCACGAGGATCTCCACTGCGTGACTGCCAGCAAGCCGTTGCGGCCATTTTGTGGCTGGCTCCACATTCTGTGGCAGCCAGTTTGCCGCTGCGCCCACCATGCTCCACCAGAATTCCAAAGGTGCCCTCAGGCTGAGAAACGGCCGGGGACCCCTGCTGCGGACTACCAAGTGTGACATGACTAGCTTATCAGAACTGAAACAGTTCGAGTGGCACCGTGGTTCTTGTCCTGGTGTGGTTCAGTCGTGGCGGCCGCCATGCTTTGGCCCGGATGTGAATGAGCCCTCGGGGTCTTACATGTGCCTCCCCCTTCGCTGCAGCCGGGTAATTAGATATTTGTGTGTTTCTGGAAATGGATGTTCACCGTTGCTTCTGAACTGGCCAACTGTGGTTGCTGCTTACTTAGCAGATGAGGGATTGTTCCAGTATTGGGAGCCTGGTTTGCAGGGACCGTACAGACCATCGTTCATCGGTTTCGATGTGAGGCAAACGGCTTTTGCCGTGGGAGCAGAAATCTTTAATGTTTGGAGGGTTCCCCCGGACATTAACATCGCAGCTAAGCTCAATTCTGAACCCAGCCTCTGTCCCCTTCTAAAGAATTAGGCTAAAACCTCCTCCAGATGATTTTATATGAATGTTGGCCATGTGTTACAACGCCCATTTCTTTCTGAACTGCTGTTCTCTTTTTCCAGATCCAAGGTGTCCCGCTTGGATCGCAATCGGTATATGCGCGAACCATCTGTAGTTAGTAATCAGTGCCTGGCTTCAGGCTGGACTCTTCAGAATGCTTTTCTTTTGTTAAGAGCAGACCAACAGGGGAAGGACTGTGGCTCAGTCAAAGAGCCTCTGCTTGGCACGCAGAAGGGCCCAGGTTCAGTCCCCGGCATCTCCAGTTGAAAAAACCAGGCAGCAGGTGCCGTGAAAGACCTCTGCCTGAGACGGCACAGAGCCGTTGTTGGTCTGCGTAGACCAGAGGGTGTCAAACGCATTTGTTATGGAGGGCTGGATTTGACATAAATTGGACTTTGTCAGGCCGGGCCACGTGTGTCATAAAATGTAATGCCAGGTAGCGGAGATATAAACTTTATAAATGACACAAACACAAAGATTTTTTTTAACTTAAAATAAAAACATGCTTGAAACATTGGCATTTCTTGCAATATTCTGTTGATTTAACAGTCTCTGATAACTGAGACGTCTTGCTCTGACTTATTGCGTCAAAATGTCTGTGCTGTTGCGATCTGGGAGGGGGAGGAGCCTCAGCCTATCTATCTCTCCTGAGCGATTGAGTGAGTCTGGGGAAACGCTGTGACGCAGCAGCAGAACTGGAGGAAGAAGCAGGAGACAGCCAGTCCCTTGCGGGCCTGATAGAAGCCCTCGGGGGGGCTCATCCGGGCCACACATTTGACACCCCTGTAGTAGGTAGTCCTGACCTTGATGGATCAAGGGTCTGATTCAGTATAAGTTTCAAAGGAGCTCTGGAGTCTGCCAGGTTCACAGTGAAATAGTGTAAAGTCCCATAGAGGCAAAGGATTTTGGGGGGCTTCAGGAATCCTTACTGTAGGCAAAGTCCCCTGGGATTGGTCAGGCTGAAGAGTCTTGACCTGCTGAAGCACTGTGGGTAAGAACCCTCTCTGTTCTGCCTCTCGCTGTCCTCCGCCAGACCAGACAATCCGCTTGTACAACTGCTCCTATGGAGCCTTCCGGAAATTCAAGAGTATCAAAGCGCGGGACGTGGGCTGGAGCGTGCTCGACGTCGCCTTCACGCCAGACGGGGCGCACTTCCTTTACTCCAGCTGGTCCAATTACAGTGAGTGGGGCTGGCATGCCCGGGGGGGGGTGGGGAAGGGGTTGAGGTCCCTGGCCCCACAGCGGTGTGCATTCACTCCCTCTCCCCCTTTTCTCCCCTCTTTAGTTCACATCGGCAACATCTATGGCGAGAGCGACGCCCACACGGCCCTGGATCTGAGGTAACGGGAGCCCCACGGAGACCCGGGGGGGGGGGAGAAAAGGGATCTTGTGTTCGCCTCTCACTTCCTCTTCCTCTTGGCCAGGCCCGAAGAGCGCCGCTTTGCTGTCTTTTCCCTCACAGTCTCCTCAGACGGACGGGAAGTGCTGGGAGGGTAAGTTGGCCTCCTGCCCGGTCCCTCCTCCTAACTACCCCTCGGCCGGTAGCATGTAGGCCTTGATGCTCTCATAACAATCAAGTCTGGAATAGATGTCCACAATGAAGTCAGATGTCCAACACTTTTCAACACTATTCCTAGGTATAAATTAGTGTTTCGGACTTCAGGTCCTTCCTCAGGAGCTACAAGCCAATACTGTAAGTCTCTTAGCAGATTCTTAACAGGTAAACAATCATTCAGGTTTTAAATGGGCCAGGTCTCCTAAATTTTAGAAAGCACCTACAAGGGTTGCTACTATGTAAGTTGGACCAAACAGCCTCCGACAAAGGAGCTGGGTCCCCAACGTGGTGCCCACTGAAATTTTTCCTGGGACCCACCAAGGGCTTTTAGAAAGAGGATGAAGCCAGAGGGACTTTTCCTAGCAATGCTTCTGATTGGCCATTGGAGAGGGTTGGGGTTTTTTTTGTATTTTGTGCGTGCGTGCATGTGAGTGTGTGCACACTTGAAAGTCATGGCGACCTCTGGTGACCAATGCCTCCCTCTAAGCTGTGGAGTTTTGTGAGCGAAAGTTCTACTTTGTGAGCCTCCTGGCATTAAAGTTGTGAGCCAGCGATTTGGTGACTGCATAAATCAGTTTGCTCTGGAGCAGGGTTCCCTCTAAGCTGAGTCAGTGTGAGCTAGCTCACAGTTTTTTAGCCTCCAGCTCACAGATTTTTGTCTCCGCTCAGGAAGGAGGGCTCCCGAGCAGACTAACTGATGCAGCAGCCCAATCGCTGGCTCACAACTTTAATGCCAGGAGCTCACAAAGTAGGATTGTTGCTCACAGGACTCCACAGCTTAGAGGGAGCATTGCTCTGGAGGCCTGCCTTCCTGAGCTAAGATGAAAAAGTGTGAGCCGGAGGCTAAAAAACTGCGAGCTAGCTCACACTGACTCAGCTTAGAGGGAACACTGCTGGTGACGGACCCATCCTGGGGGCCTAGAGGATATTCAGAGTGGTGGCTGAATCAAGCCTGCCCCCGCCTCCCGACTGCTGGTATTCCTTGGAGGTCTCCCATCCACGTACTCGCCAGGGCCGACGCTGCTTAGCTTCTGAGATCTGACGAGACCGGGCAGGCCTGGGCAATCCAGGCCGGGGCTGCCACTGGAGATCTGATTGGCTTTGCAGATTTTTTAAAAAACGTTGCTTTGTCAGCGGCTGCCAACTTTAGCACAAGGAGCTTTACTGTGTGACTGAAGGTAAGCAGGGACCGTCATTTTGTGGCTGTGCCCACCACGTCTGCTAGTGCTTGCAGGCTCCAAAAGGCCGGGGACCCCTGCCGCAACATATAAGCCTTTGTGCTTTGGCTAGGTCGGTGCCTGTCTTTAGTCTAAGGAGGCTGGGTGCTTCTGTGCAATTCCAGCGTGAAGCTCCACCTGCTTCTTCACACCTAATCCTTAATCAAGAGGATGCTGGCCGATTTGGATCAGAGCAGCTGATTTGCCTCCCAGAGACTTTCCCCTCCTTTGATCTGGCAGAGTCCTCCCGGTGTAGACGTGCCCGTCCAACCATTCTCCTTCCAGTTGCTCTGAGCATAGGGTTTTATTCTCTGGCGTGCCTCACGGAGCATCGCCAGTGCCACGCATGACTGAGTGCTCTCGTGCCAGCCTGTTGCCTGGGCTGGCGAGTTCAGCCTCCGCTCCCCCTTTTATGTCTCCTCTCCCACTGAGTCCACTCTGGCTTTCGATCTAGGGCCAACGACGGCTGCATCTACATCTTTGACATGGAGCAGAAGAAGCGGACGCTCAAGGTAGGTTTGTCTGTATGCCTCTTTTCGGGCCTGCCTCTCTACTGTGTGTCCCTTTTTGCAGTGGGTCCTCTTCGGCCCTCTTCATGCCCGGTGGCTCCTCGCTCCTAGGCCTCGCTTCCTTTTTTGCCTCTTCTAGAAATCTGCACCCTTTTGTCGACTGCTTCACTTCCCGCTCTTTCTTTCCCATCTCTGTGAGCACACCACACTTCTCCAAGCTGCTGGGTGCGCACGGTTCCATGGTTTCTCTGTATCGTGAGGAACTGTTTGATTCAATTGCGCACGGTGCTGGGACGCCACTCGACCGCTCCCTTCTCTCTGAGCATTTCTCCCCTGCTCTAATCGAGCTGAGTCCAGTGTGCATATTGTCCCGTTGCACTGCGACTCCCTCCTTTGCTACGTCCCTCCCTCCTTCTGCCTGGGATATCAGGACTACAGGGGTTTCTGTTCCTACTCACAGCTGGCCGAGGGAGCGTGGACTCTGGAAAGCTGGTACCCTGGAGATTCTGCTAGTCTTTAAGGTGCCGCCAGACTCAAATCTTTCCCTTCTGGCAGAAGCCAGCTGGAAAAAAAGAAAGGCCCGCGCCATTAACTGTGCACTGAGGCTGTAAGCTTATCTGCACAGTGGGTGGGGACTTTAGGGGCTCCCAGAAGCTCAAGTGGTTAAGATGCTGAACTGCAGGCTGTGGAAGGTCGGAAGTTCAGCAGTTCGAGACCCGAGTGTGCCGCATGACGGAGTGAGCTCCCGTCTCTAGTTCCAGCTCCTGCCAACCTAGCAGTTCGAAAGCAACAAATTGCAAGTAGATAAATAGGTACCACTTCGGTGGGAGGGTAACAGCGTTCCGTGCGCCTTGGTGTTTAGTCATGCTGGCCACATGCCCACGGAAACGTCTTTGGACAGCGCTGGCTCTTCGGCTTTGAAACTGAGATGAGCACCGCAACCCTAGAGTCGGACTCGACTGGCTTTCGAGCAAGGCAGCCTTTATCTTTAACTATCAATATAGAATCATAGAGTTGGAAGGTACCTCCAGGGTCATCTAGTCCAGGGGTGGCCAAACTGTGGCTCGGGAGCCACACATGGCAGGGCGGCTGGGGAAGCGAAGGGGAGGCATGCCTCCCTGGTCGGTCTTCCCTTCCCCAGCCAGTGTTCCCCTCCCTGGGACCTTCAGGCGGGGGGAGCAGAGAAAGAAAGCAACTTTAGCTTGAAATGTGTTCTCAAAGGCCCCCCCCCCAAGCCTACAGATATCATTATCAATATCTATTTTTATCCCTTTTGCTTTTATTTCTGGCAGTCTCATTTCATGTTAATAAAAAGCAGTTTTGCATATTATTGCATAAAAACGTGTCTGTAATATTTGTTCATGTCTTGCGGCTCTCAAACATCTGACGTTTATTCTTCGTTAAGCGAGTTTGGCCACCCCTGATCTAGTCCCGCCCCCTGCACAAGGCAGGGAATTCACAAAGACCTCCCCCTCCACACCCGCAGTGACCGCTGCTCCACGTCCAGAAGATGACGAAAAACCTCCAGACTCTCCGGCCAAACTGGCCTGGGGAAAAATTGCTTCCTGACCCCAAAAAAGTGGTGATCAGCATTTCCGTGGGCGTGTAAGAAAAGGGCCACGAGAACTAAGCACTGAGGCAGCCCTTCCTGCCCTCCCTTCTCGTGATCTGCTTATGTTCACAGAATCAGTACATTTTTATTCTGCCCCGCCCCGCCCCTTTCCAGGGGATCTGGTTGGCATGCATGGTTTACTGTCCTCCATTTTATCCTCACGACAATCCTGCAAGGAGTAGGATGGATGAGTGATTGACCCGTGTTCCCCCCACTGAGATTCAGAGTGGGGTACTGGGGACTTGAACCTAGGTCCTGGCCCAGTACTGTAGCCGCTGCACCATGCTGGGCGTGTTTCTTGTCCCTCGTAGCAGGCGAAAGGCTCCTGGGCTTATACCCTTTGGGGACTCTGCCTGCAAGTGTTTGCCACAGCAGCGGCCCTCTGCCAGTCCTCTAGGTAAAACTTGCTTTCTGTCCTCCATCTTCCTGCAGATTGAGTCCCACGAAGACGACGTGAATGCCGTGGCCTTTGCCGACAACAGTTCCCACATCGTGTTCTCCGGGGGCGACGATGCCATCTGCAAAGTGTGGGACCGGCGCACCATGAGGGAGGGCAACCCCAAGCCGGTGGGCATCCTGGCCGGCCACCGGGATGGCATCACCTTCATAGACAGCAAAGTAAGCTGGCTGCTTGCTCGAGGGGGTAGGACCCCAAGGGAGGCAACCTCTGCTTTAACAATGAATCCCATTGCCTGGGATGCCCATCATGGAGGTTTCTCCCTAGCAGAAGGCTAGAGGGGAGAGCTACTTTGGTGTACCTCGAGGCCCTGGAATGCTGTCCGACAAGCTCCGAGGACGTCATAGGAGCTGCTGGGAGTTCTGCTGGTTTCTCAGTGGCTCTTCAGGGCCCTTCAAGGAACATGTTGTTCATTCGCACAGTCGAGTCCGACTCTTTGCGACCCCACGGACCACATCATGCCAGGCCCTCCTGTCTTCCGTCATGCTCTGGAGTTAGCTCAATTCCACATTTGTTGCATTGATAACACTGTCTAACCATCTCATCCTTTGCCGTCCCCGTCTTCTTTGACCTTCAATCTTTCCCAGCATCCGGGTCTTCTCCAGTGAGTGCTCCCTTCTCATTTGGTGGCCAAAGTATTTGAGCTTCAGCTTCAGTATCTGGCCTTCCAGGGAACAGTCAGGGTTGATTTCCTTTAGGATTGACTGATTCGATCTCCTTGCAGTCCAAGGGACTCTCAAGAGTCTTCTCCAGCACCATAATTTGAAAGCATCTATTCTTCGGCGCTCGGCCTTCCTTATGGTCCAACTCTCGCAGCCATACATTATTACTGGGAATACCATTGCTTTGACCATACGGAGTTTTGTTGGCAGGGTGATGTCTCTACTTTTTATCATGCTGTCTAGGTTTGCCATCGCTTTCCTCCCAAGGAGCAGGTGCCTTTTAATTTCATGGCTGCAGCCACCATAGGAACATAGGTGGGGTCATCACATAGAAGGGAAGCAAGGGAGCTAAGAATGAAGATTCTTTTGAACTGCAGTGAGCCAGTTGCTCTGGTTAACTATCTTGCAGAAGTAAACGTATTTTTTAACTTCATTTATACCTTGCCTTTCTCTGACTTCGCTCCAGAGCCACCTGATCTCTGATAGCCCCTTTTTGAGACTGGCCCATAAGGAAGGACTGAAACCAGTTCAAAACATATATCCTGGCACCTACTTCTGCCTCCCAAATGTCTTAATAAGATGGGATGACCCACTGTATCGAAGGCTGCCGATGAATCTAGTAAGAGCAACAAAGAGGCATGGCTGTTGTCTGCATTCATACAGATTATTGTTCACTTTATTTAATTTACTAGTAGTAAAGCCCATTGTAAAAGGAATACAATGAACGCTAGCAAGATCTCTGCTTTGCCCTCCTCCTTGGCTACGTCCTCGTATATGGGGCTGGTCCTCATCTGCACGCAGCCTGCCCTGCCACCTGCAGCTGTCCGCAGGCGGCAGCGACCAGTGCAGCGGCATGGTTGGCCTCTGCCTCCTTACCCTGCGGCCGCTGGATCATTGGGCCTGTCCGTCGCCTTGCAGCACACCGAGAGGCTGGGCGCCACTTCCATGGGCTTGCCACCAGGCCGGCTCCCTACACCCTGGCGCAGCTGATGACGACCACTGCGGAACCGCCATGTTTGGCCTCCGAAGCCTCCGCCCAACGGAGTGTCAGAGGACAGCCCTCACCAGAGGCGCCCGCGTGGAACTCTCTGTGCCCGGGGAAGTGACAGTGGGTGAAAGTCAACCCTCCCGCATCGGTCTGCTTCATCTCCGACAGGCTCGACTTTAAGACTTGTCTCCCTGTGACATTGAATGGTCTCCGTGGCCAGACGGCCGTCTCTCCCCCTCCCTGGCTGCTTTCCCTCACTAAGAGTGCAAGCCGTAATTGGCCAATGCTGCTGGCTTTCCATTGCAATGGGAGCTGTTTGTGGCCAGAAACTGAGAGGATCCATCCCATTCGGTGGCTCTCTCCAGATTAAGCCTGAGATGCTGGTCGCCAGTTTTGTGGGTGGGACTGAGGCAACGCGGCGAGGCGATGTAGCCAGGGGATTGGCACACCTCCTGAGTGACAGATCAGGGACCTAATTGATTTGGGAGCATGTGGAACGTTCAGGAAAGAGTCACCCCAAAACAGAATTATATATAAGGAGAGCTGCCCCACCTTTCTCCCCAATGGGAACCAAAAGCGGCTTACATCGTTCTCTCCATGTGAGGTGGGGTAGGCTTGACAGTAGTTGGTTGTTTCAAGGACACCTAGCAAGCTTCTGTGTCAAGAGTGGGGAATTCAAAGCTGGGTCTTCCAGATCCAAGCCTGATGCTGTTAACCACCACGCTGGCTCTGTTCTTCAGCTGTACAAACTGTCCTTGTACTTGAGCTCTAAGACTGTGGGGGCGTTGTTGACTGGGTGTGGATATCTCTTAAACAGCTGTTCGGCCTCTTCTCCCCCACCCCACCAGGGAGATGCCCGATACCTCCTCTCCAACTCCAAGGACCAGACCATTAAGCTTTGGGACATGCGGAAGTTCTCTGGCCGCGAGGGGCTGGAAGCGTCCCGCCATGCCGTCACCCAGCAGAACTGGGATTACCGCTGGCAGCAGGTGCCCAAGAAAGGTAGGCGCACCACAGGCGTCCCTGGGGAGGAAGGGCAGGGGACGGCGCGAGGAAGGGGGGGCTCTGATTGGTCTTCACTCCCTCCCCAGCACAGCGCAAGTCGAAGCTCCCGGGCGACAGTTCGCTCATGACGTACCGAGGCCACGGAGTGCTGCACACCCTGATCCGCTGCCGTTTCTCCCCGGCCCACAGCACCGGGCAGCAGTACATCTACAGCGGCTGCTCGACGGGCAAGGTGGTGGGTGAGTGACCTGCGCTGGGAGGGGCCGTGGGTTTGGGGGTACAGCCTCTGCTCGGCATGGAGAAGGTCCCCGCGTTCAGTCCCTGGCAGCTTCAGTTGAAAGGATCGGTTAGCAGATGATGCGGAAGATTTCTGCTTGAGCCTCTGGCAGTCTGAGTGGACAATGCTGACTTTGACAGACCGGTCAGTGGGAGGCAACTGCACATGTCCAGGGCCGTGGATGCAGCAGGAGTGGCAGCGCCCTGCCACATGGACCAGTTGCGTACATGTGATCACCACCATTCTGTGCAAGCGCAAAATACTTTGATTGGGCCCGGGGCTCTTTTTGTAGCAGGAACTCATTTGCATATTAGGCCACACCCCCTAATGTAGCCAATCCTCCAAGAGCTTACAGAGCTCTTCTTACAGGGGCTACTGTAAGCTCTTGGAGGATTGGCTACATTAGGGGCGTGTCGCTTAATATGCAAATGAGTACCTGCTACAAAAAGAGCCCAACAACGTTTGAGTCCAGGGGCATCTTTAAGATCACCAGAGTTTTATTCTGGGTAGAAGCTTTTGTGTGCATGCACACTTCTTCAGATACCAAATTTCTTCGTAAGGCTGATGGAGTTCCATTCCATGGAGCTAAATGTGGCGCATTCCATGAAGATGGATTCAGGTGGGTAGCTGTGTTGGTTTGAAGCCACAGAACAAAGTTTGAGTCCAGTGGCACCTTTAAGACCAATGAGGTTTACTCCAGGGTATAAGCTTTTCGTGTGCATGCACGCTTCATCAGATATTGCTTCAGACCAGCTCGGCTCCCCACCTGAATTTTGTGTTCTGAAAGTCACCTTTTTAATCCAGTCCTTCTTTGCAGCTCTTGTAGCTGCAAAGAGAGCTTAAAAAGTTCCCACACTTTAAAAGTAGGAGATTGGATTTATACCCCTCTCTTCGCTTACTTGAAGGAGTCTCAGAGCAGCTTACAAACGCCTTCCCCTTCCCCTCCCCACAGCAGACACCCTGTGAGGTAGGCAGGGCTGAGAGAGCTCTTTTGAGAACTGCTCGTGAGAGAACAGCTCTGAGAGAACTTGTGACTGACCCAAGGTCACGCCAGCAGCTACATGTGGAGGAGTGGGGAACCAAACCCGGTTCTCCCAGATTAGAGTCCACACTCCTAACCACGACACCAGAAAGTACCCATCAGTTTGCTTGCTACAGGAAACATAAAGAAGAGCCCTGCTGGATCAGACCAGTGGTCCTTCTAGTCCAGCATCTCGTCTCACACAGTAACCAACCAGTTCCTCTGGAGGGCCAACAACAGGACATACAGGCCGAGGCCTTCCCCTGATCTTGCCTCCTGGCACTGGGATTCAGAGGTGTACTGCCTCTGAATGTGGAGGTTCCCTTTAGTCGTCATCGCTAGTAGCCACTGATAGACCTCCATGAATCTGTCTAATCCCCTTTTAAATGGAATTTAATGGATTCCACTGGGGTGACGGGGGGGGGGGGAGCCAGAGGAATATATGGCAGATGCGTGAACCGACGTTTCTCTCTGTGAAGTGAAGGGAAGGGGTGGCTGAGATATTGGGACAAAGTGGAGGAGCTTGGAATTGTATGTGGGTTCTCAGTCAAGGCAGGGTGGACCTGGTTAATTCCTAAGAAGAAAAAGGCGTGGTTTTGGTCTTCCTGGCTCCGAGACCCCGAGACGGTAGGTGACCCTTTGATGCTTTCTAGCATCCGTGGTGGGGTGGAAAGGTGAGTTCTGGAGCTGGAGGGTGGCCAGTGAAGAGGGAGCAGCTCAAAATAGGCCCTGGGGTCTGTTGGCAACACTTGTCTCTCCTGCTTTTTCCCCCTCTCCCCCCCAGTATATGATCTCCTCAGCGGCCATATTGTGAAGAAACTGACTGAACATCGAGCCTGCGTCCGCGACGTCAGCTGGCACCCCTACGAGGAGAAGATTGTCAGCAGTTCGGCAAGTGTCGAGGGGAGGAGGAGGGACTGACCAGTGGTGGCAGGCAGGACCCTCCCCTCCCCTCCCTTTCTCTGGAGGAGGACGCCGGAGGAGTGCCATTGGCCATCTGGCGCATACAGCCTACTTTGGAGCCAGTGTTCCCTCCAAACTGAGTTAGTGTGAGCTAGCTCACAATTTTTTAGTCTCCGGCTCACACATTTTTGTCTTCGCTCAGGAAGGATGGCTCCAGAGCACACTAATTTATGCAATGGCCAGATGGCTCAATTTTAAAGCCAGTAGCTCACAAAGTGGAATTTTTGCTCACAAGACGCCACAGCTTAGAGGGAGCCTTGCTTGGGACATGGGCAGGCGGCCCCTGAAGCTTTGTGGGGCGCAGCCGTCTAGCGCAGTGGTCCCTAACCTTTTTGGCCCTGCAGTCACCTCTGGAATGCTGGCATAGCGTTGTGGGCGCAGCCACGAAATGGCTGCCGCAGGAGACCGAGCCAGCCACAAAATGGCTGCTGCGGCATGACTTCGGTCACACAGGGAATATCCTTGCGCTGGGTTGGCCAAAGCAACATTTTTAAAGATCTGCACCGCCAATCAAATGTCCAGTGGCTAGTCAGAAGCCTTGCTGGGCAAAAGCCCCACCCATTTTGTAAAAACACCCAGTGGGGCCACGGTGGCTATGGGCACCACGTTGGGGACTCCCGATCTAGTGGTTTGGAGCCTCAGTGTCCTGCTGTCCCTTTGCCTTTCCCTGCTCTTGGAATGTGGCCGTTGCTTGGCTTGAGAGAGGTAAAGAGCCCTGCAGAAGTATTTTAACCACCATCAGTATTCCCTCTAAGCTGAGTTAGTGTGAGCTAAGCTCACCCTTTTTTAGCCTCCGGCTCACACGTTTCTGTCCTAGCTCAGGAAGGAGGGCTCCTGAGCAAACTAAACTAATTTATGCCGTAGCCAGATCGCTCGCTCACAACTTTAACGCCAGTAGCTCACAAAGTAGAAATTTTGCTCACAAGACGCCACTGCTCAGAGGGAGCACTGACCACCCTATTCCTTTCTCCTGGCCACAGTGGGACGGCAACCTCCGGCTGTGGGAATATCGCCAAACGGAATACGACGAAGACGCTTTCCGGCACCCCCAGCAGCTCCCCAGCAACAGAGAATCACGCCCCAAATCCTGCTCTTCGGGAGCCTCCGACCAGTAGCCGTCCTGTGCTGCTGGCCACCGTACTGCAGTTTTGGACTTTTCCGGGGGAGGGGGGGTTAGGAGGGATCTAGGAACACTCGTGGGGGGCGGTGCGAGCTCCAGTGTGCCCCTCTTCACAGATCATGTGCCGAGGGCTGGCCGAGAGGGCCGGCAGCCATCAGATGACAGCAACCCTGGGGGGGGGGGGGGGTGGGATAGCAGGGGAAATTTAGGTTAGAAGCGGGTTGAGGGGAAATCGGGAGATCACGTTCGGGCGGGGGTCGTGTGTGTGTGTGTGTGAAATTTCCCGTCCCCCTCTCTGTTTCCCGGTCTGCTGTTTTTTGTAATAGGATGGGGTGGGAAATTATGAACAGGGACGAAACGGAACAGCCCTGCCTGCGGTGGGCTGTGGCTTGCTTTGGGGGGAGCAGAAGGTGGGGGGGCGGGCCTCTCTCGCTCTGGATGAAGCTGGGCTGCGATGGGCTGGCCAGTCCAGCAGGGCGGCCGGATCCTTCCGTTCCTTCGCAGGCGTCAGGTCAGCCGCTCAGGAACGGGGACCATAAGGGTGGGGAAACTTTTCCCGGCTGGGACAGAACCGCCAAGTAGGGTCGGCGCTTTCCCAAGAGTCCCATTCCGCCCTGGTGCCCAGCCACAGGTGGTGTGTGGGAGTCACTGGGTGAGATGCCCCCCAGAGGGAGACGGGGGCAGCTCCCTTGGCACATTTCCTCCAGTCGGGCTCAAGGCTTGCGGACACTCGATCCTTCGAGGGACGTCCCTGCCACAGTGGGGGTGGCTGGTGTGTGCATCGCCTGCTGCACTTGCTTGTGTGTGAGCTTTTATACAGTCAGGGAGCAGGGGAGAGAAAGGGCAGAGTTTCTGGGTTGCAGCGAGGGGCCAGTTGGGCTGGCAAGGGGCTCTCCCCCCCCCCCCGAGGCGTGTCCCCACC